ATTCCGGCGCACTCAATTCCAGTAGACTATTATAATACTTCTAAACGCCTCTGGCCATTATTTTTTAAATCACGTTAGGGTGACAAAAAAACATCTTTAGCCAGCATTCCGATGGGGGTAGGGGTCACAGTATATCGTACCTTTTTCACAAACTACAATGTAATTGATGTAAACTTTGTGAATGTGTGTAGGGGGGTGCTGCAACAACCTGAGTTGTGTCCTACACAAAGCAGCTGTAGATAACGAAATAGGTCACAGGTTAGGTCTTTGCCAGGCATCACTTTACCTGCTGGGGCAAAAAAAATAGATGCAAGTGGAAAGAATGAAGGACTCAAAACGGCCAAATACTGTAGAAAATGTACCGCAGACGAACCCGCGAACGTACACATCATTTAGAAAGAGGTGAGAAAACAGAATTGGACGGCAGTGCAGCCCCCCCGGATATAACCCCCCCGACAGATATAGGGAAAGAAATAGGATTTTCGGGGGGGGGGGGGGGGGGGGGACACGGGGGTAAGGGTTATTGTCGGGGGGGTAAAAGGTTAGAAGTTCTACAGGAGAAACTTGGACCCTCGTTCATCAGATTCTTTTTAACTCTTTTGAAATCAAAGATTCTTTTAACTCTTGAGGGGGGGGGGTTATTCCATATTGTTTTACTTATCAATAAATTCCATGAAAATAAATGAACTCCCTCTGAGTCATAAAGCTCCATTTAGAAACATCCTTCATTTTGAACTGCACTTTATTCTGACTAAAAATACCAAATGTGGATTCATCCGCCGCAGAAAATAGTCCCACGCCGATGCACTACTTCCTCCTGTTTGAGCGATTCAGCCTCCAGAGAGATGCTGGTTGTTGTTGCGTTTGAGTAAAATGTTGCATTCATGCTTCATTTGTATTTTGGTATTTCACAAAATACATGAAGTCGTTTTTTATGAATGAATTGAAGAAGAAAACAAATAATAACTGATTAAAGATGCTCAATAAAACAGATCAGAATCAGCATCAATCGTTCACTCCGTTTTGTTCATTAAGCTCATTTTTGGGGCGTTTGACCTTAATGGGGATTAATCCAACGATGAAAACCTCTATTGTCGTCTTTTAATGCACTTACAGAAAAAACTACCGTCAGCAGTTTAGGAAAAGACTGAGCCTCTATTTAAATAATAAAACCAGCAATTTCCGAGCTGCATTAAAGGATTGTAGGAAACAAAAGGTGCTGCGTGGGGAGCTTCACTACCACAGTCTCCAGAGAGTTTTAATGTCTTCCGTTTGTGGAACAGGAGGTCCTGTGCGGTCGAATGCACTTCGGGTCCTCGCCACTAGAGGGCACTGCACCCTGTGAGTCCCGGGTACCAATTCGTCTTTTTTGTTCTAAAAATTGTGGGGTCCACTCACGTTCCTGAGAGCTTCGTTGGTTTCCGGGTGGGAGGTAGGTGGGGGCGGGGGGGGCGGCGGCGAGGGCGGGGCCCGCGCCCGGGCGCCGTAGAGGTACTGGATGCCGCGCCGGTCGTCGTCGTTCAGCCTCAGCGGGTGGGAGAAGGAGTAGTACGCCGACATGACGGCTCCCGGCACGCGGGAGTGCGGCAGGCCCAGGACGGGCCCAAACTCAGGGGCCGCCACCTGGAGGAGGTCCGTCCCTGCGAGGAGGGGGGGGGGGGTGTTGAGATGGCGTGAAGTTGTTTTCTTTACTTGAGTCAACATTTTATTTCTCCTTTTTTCCTCGTTTGTTTAGAGCGTATAGCTGCTTTTCATTTTTTGTATTTTTTTGTTTTGCTGCTTTTAAAATATAGTAAATAAATAAATAATAATAATGTATATTTATCTGTCTTATGTTGCACTGAGTGAAACAATAGTCCAACCCATGTGGTTTCCGAGGGTCCAGGCCTCGTCGTAGTCAAAGTGGATGTCGCCCTGTCGGTGCGTTTTGGGGAAGAAGGCGTGAGCGAGGATCCCACCCGGGCCGTCGAAGGGGAGGTTGTCTCCGTGCCAGTACCTGCAGGTCCGTAAAACAAACGCTCCGATAAGAATAAAAAACCCTCTGAAGGTTATCAGCACGATGAGCTCATAATTATTATTGTTATAAACCAATTCACATTGATCCAAATAGTAC